TACACCTTTGACCACCAAAAAACCTCAGAGAACACTGGATTCAAGTTCCGTGGCCACTGAATCAAAACCTCAGCCTGATTCCAATGCCATCTATCTTTAATCTGTTCACCAGAAAGTTAACTGTCCTCCACACCCACACCTGTGCAGCTTATTTTAAGTTTAAATAGGGAACAGATCCAGGGACTTTGGCTCAAGTAGTCAGAGGAAACTTCAGATCACCCTCAAATCTGCAGTGAAGTCTTCAGAGATAAGGATTATCTAGAGTTATCTGAAGACATAGAGGCCTGGAGTGGTATTTTACCTCTGACCAAGGAGTATTGCTCCCTTTGGTCAAAGTTCACAGAAATCAAGAGGAGGAAGCAAATCCTGGAACCTTATGTCACTTCCTTGAGTAAAGTCACATGACATGTTGTGAAATCTTCAGTCTAACTCAGTTCGGGTAGGTTTAACATTATTCTTAGGAGGCAATCATGCTGAGTACACATACCCAGGGTGATCATGAATCATGGTAACTATATTTTGTCTCTTGCTGCTTCAGTAAAGATATGGATACCCTAGACTGTGAAGAACAATTAGAAGGTGAGGCAATGCTAAGACCTCATGAGCTAAGGTAAACAATTTAATTTTTGCCCAAAATCTTATGGAAATGTTTGTACTCTGATCGTCTCTCCCATCACAAGGATATCCAGCACCTCCTTTCGTCCCAGAGGTACTCATTCCTTCTAACTTTGATTAAGGAGGCATCATATTTTACCACTGAAGCAAAGGGAGTCTTGGATCATTCCAAAAGCTTAAACATTCATTTAGGTTGAGGAATCCCGTACAACTACCTGAACATCTCTGTGAGTTTTCCTAACGTCAGATTTTTCCTATTGTTTCCCAGATTTCTCCTTCAGCTCAAGGGAAACTGTAGGTTCAGTAATGATACAAAACATGAAGAAGCACTCATTCTCTCTGCTTGGAATAAGGGAGATCTAGATACCCTTAAATTTGAAAGGGACTTAATTCAAATTCTTCTGTTTATGGAGCTTACAGATAAGCCACTGACATGAAAACTCATAGAGATGTTCAGGAAGTTGTATGAGATACCTCGGCCTAAACGAATGTTTAAGCCTCCTTTGGACAAAGTGGAATGATCTCAGGCTCCCTTTGCTTCAGTGGGAAAATATGATGCCCCCTTAATCAAAGGTAGAAGGAGTGAGTACCCCAGTGAAGAAAGGAGATCCCAATATCCTTGTGACAGGAGAGATGATCAGAGTATAAAAATTCCCATAATAATTTGAGCAAACATCCCCTGACAATGGTTTCCTCAGAGAATCCACTTCTAGTCATAGAATCCTCAGTTCTATTTCTCTAGGAGGTCTTAATGTTTCCCTTCTGACCTTGGTGACAAGTCATCCCCAGATGACTGAAGGGATGGCAGACCACTCTGAATGGATATCCTGGGACATGAAATGATGTCCTTGCACCTGACAGTAAATATCTGAGCCCTGATCTAACTTCTATCTTTAAGATTGCCCCTTGAAATGGAGCAGGTCCATCTTTGTTGCCCATGCTTGTGCTGCTGCTGAACAGCTTGTGGAGAATATAGAGCCAGAGACTACCAACCAATTGTAAGAAAAAAATTCTCTGATTGCCGGGAAGCACACCTCAGAGTCCCAGAACACATGGGTTTTCTGGACTGGGAGGACATTTGCACCTTCAGATAAGGATAAGGTATTTTCTGCACCTTCTTTCAATGCCTAAGGTCAACTTTTGTCTGAGCAATTATGTGACCTTTTTGCTCTTCCCTATCCTCCCAGCATATTCTCTCTCTCAAAAATGGGGCCCATGACCTTCCCACATATGGTCAAAGTAGGTTTTCTACCTAACTGATCAGGCATAGTTCCAAAAGTGACAATTTATGTAAACAAGGGACCCTAGTCCACTCTGGTTTGAAGTCCTGTACCCCAAGTTTAGAATCAGAGCATAGAACCTGTGCCATCTGATGTCAGGCAAGTCCATAGAAATGTAATAACTTCAACATTTCTGCCTAGATCTGGACAGCTAAACAAACTAGAAATAACCAAACCAGCAACAGTCATCTAAACCCTGGGAAAAGGAAATAAGTTGCTGCCTGCTCTCTACCAAAATGAACACAAACTACAAAGATACAAAACTCTGAATAAGAACTGGAAACTTATGATCCCTGCTGGAAACTTTCTCCACTGTATAAGGTACGCAGGACCTTTACCATTGACAGAAGTGTATATGGCACCTTCACACTGCCTAAAGGAGATTCTGTCTTCCTTTTTCAACAGGGCCTCAGAGTTAGTGTTAACTTACTCCTTCTCACTACATTGAGCAGAATGGCAGAACTCTCCTAGGATTAACATTGCTCTAGACCCCATTTACCAACTGGGCCCTTAAACACTTACTATGCCTTATGTGGTCCTTATATATTCCTATTCCTACCAAATTGCTTTGAGTCTTTTCTACTTAAAGGGCTGTCAGATCAAGGGAGTCTTATACCACTCATTCTACATAAAAGAGCATCTAACATTCTTTGTCTGTCTTCCCAGTAGGATTGAGACCCTATTGTCTACCTCCAACCACCGAATGGATCTTAGACCTACAATTTCTGTGAAAGGTGCCTTAAGAAATCAAAGTCTATTGAAATGGCTCTCAAAACTGGCCCTGTGTCAAAGGGGGTGTTTTAGACCTCCGTCTTCTACACTAGGGGACTTCAGGTCCACCTGTGCAACTAAAGAACCACCAGACTTTCTCTTCTGCCCATGCCTCACAAACACCCCTATTAACTAAGTTGTCTTTAAATCTAACCACTCTGTCCAAGATAACCTAACAACACATTAGCAACCAATGGTACCTCACATCTCTTTGCTTTTAGATCTTAGGATAGAAGATAGAAAGCTGAAGTTGGCTTTCATAAACTGTGCCTCAAAGTTGGTCATCAAAAATGCAGAACTGACCTTAATATATGCATGTAATTAAAATGGTATAAAACCAAAAAGGAGGAGGGAGGATGGGATAGGGGGTTCTAGGGAGGGGAAATGGGGCGACATCTGTATAGTGAATAAAATATCCAATAAAAATTTTAAATTAAAAAAATGCACAATTCCTATCATTTATTCACAGATGTGTGCACTTGAACACAGCCTTGAGGAAACATCAATGCTTGCATAACTACTTATCTTGTTAGAAAATTGCTGTCATCATTGCCTGGACTCTCAAAGATTTCACACAGGGTATGCATCTGGGGAAAATTCTTAGAAGCTAGTGAGGCAGTCAGAACATTCCTCCAGTACCCAGTGTAGCCTAGAACCTTCCCCTGCTGACCATGGGTGAACTGGATAGTTCTGTTCTGCAAAATATGACTGGGGAACTCTATCTTATGAATCAAGATATTCAGGATTTCCCCTTTGTTGAAGGCAGTCTTAGAATTTCCCATTCTGAGAAGAGGTTCTCAGAACTCCTCTGTTGCCCAGTTAATTCACACACCTTATTTTTTGAAGTGCCTGAGAGAACTCGGTCTCTGCCCTTCCCTTCACCAAAAATGTGGCCTTGGATCTTGTCCACTTCTGCAAGGGGGAATGTGAACCACTGTCTTTGACCAAAGGAGGCTCCCACATTCCTTTTCTCCAAAGGTGACATTAAATATGCTCTTGTGAATAATAGTGTATTGTGCCTTGTATCCTCAAGCATTCTCTTATTATGTCTTTGAACTACCTCCAATGTATAACCTATAATAAGAGAGATTCTAGCCTTTCACCTTTTACCATGGCGGCTAGAGAAATATATTGTTCCACTCTGGTTTGAGGTCCCAGGTCCTATGTGGAGAATTATTGACTGGATCCCATGTTATGCTCCACAGTCTAATCACATTGTTGCTGCCCAATATATGGACATATGAAGACAAACTGAAGGAGGCATCCTAGCCAGGGACAGGCATCCAGGCTGTTTGAAAAAGGCTTGTCTTGTTGCCTGAACTCCCCCAGACCAAACGCAAGATGTGGAACATCTACCAACTAAAGTAGAGTTATAAGCTGAAGAACAGTGCAGGGACCTTCCTTTACTGAATAAGTAACAGGGACATTCATGTCTAACAGGATGGTGCATGGCACCTACCCCCTCTCCTAGGGTGTTCTAACCCATACCTTTGCACAACCAGGTCTCAAAGTTTTCTCTTTCTCATAAAGGGCCCAGTACGTCCTTTGTGCCTAAGATACCTCAGTCCTTTTACTTTACTGAAGAGAATATCAGACCTCCCTCCTACAAGTAAGCCTACTGCAGACCTTCCCCATTGGTCCAAGGTGGTCTAAAGTGCTCATTTAGAGGAAACACCCTCAAACTTTATGTTTCCTTGAAAGTAGGCCTAAGTCATTTCTTTTCTGGCTAAAGAGGCCCCAGGTCAAGTAAGCCTTATGCCATTCCCTCTGTAGAAGCCAGAATCTAATCCATTCACATGGAGTTGAGTGTAGTGCAAAAGGAGGCTATGATTTCCTCCTTCAACCACAAGGACTATAGACATCCAGTTCCTGGCCAAGGGTATACGTCTCATGAAACAATGATGACAGAGACCACAGGTTTGTCTTCTATGGCCAAGAGGGTCTCATCAATTCCATCTGTAGTCATAGGAGCTTCAGGTGTAGCCTCTACCTATGGGATGCCCTAGAGCATCGCTTCATCCCAAGGAGAGCTTACACTTGACTTTAAACTCATCTACGATAGTATCAATCTCTCTGACCAAGATTGCCAGGCAAACACTATTGCAACCTCAGAGTGGGACCTCACAAGTTTCTGAGTGTAGTACAGAGGGCAGAAAATAGAAAGCAAAAACTAACAGATATGTGACAGGTGGTTGTCAAAACTGCAATGTTCCTGTCTCTCATTTAGGGATGTAGACACATCAATACAACCTCGAGGGAGCGTCAGAGTTCAGACTATGTCTCACCCTGATAAAAGAACGTGCTGATTGCTTCTTGTACTCTTCCCAACAGTATGTACAATATATGGATAATGGAAGCTTGGAAGAATATTTGGACTCAAATAATGGAGTACCATACTGTTCTCCCACTACCCAAGGTAAGCCAGATTTTTCTCTTCTGCACAGTGAGATGATTGGATCTTGCTATTTGGTTAAACATGGCCGGGCACTTTTCTTCTAAGCAAAGCAGTTCTTAATGACTCCAGATGTTCCATTTATGAATACAGGCTACTGAAACTGCACCTATTTTCCAGGCATCCCACACCATCTCCTTTGGATGAAGAGTCATCAGCACTTAACTTGGGATAGGTGGCCTTCAGGCCTTTCTGCTCTTACAAATACTACCCTAAACCTTCCCCCCTCTGTCTAAGGTCAGTAATAAAAATGACTGGATTTTAGCACTGGGAATCTCAGAATTTTTAATTTGACCAAGAGGACCAAGCTCAAAAGGTCCTCAGAGCAACCACCACCTATATTTGGGCCTCAAACACAACCCTCTAATGATGAACTTTAGATCATTTCCCTCTAACCATGGCCACTAAGAAAACACCTGTGTGACCAAAGGGACTTCATTGAATTCTGCTCTGTGTTAACAGAGCCCAAAACTTAGGTCATCTGTTTTTCATACCATCCTTCATGCACTTACCCATGTAGTTGATGAAAAGGTTCAGGAGGACTTAGAGACTGACAATCATGACTGATGAATAATGCTTGAATAGCTACCAGGACTACCACAGTGTAACTGAGAATGGGAACTGTCTAAACCGTGAAGCAGTCCTACCTCCCCTGCTCAAGGTAGGCTGGGACATTTGCTTATCCTTGAAGAGGTTTGAGACTTTAAGCAGACTCTAAGTATGTTTTAGTCTTCTTCTCCTAAACATCATTGTTTTAGACCACCAACTTCTCTCCATAATATATAAAATATACCCTCTGAATATAAGAGGGTCCAATAGCTATCTTATAAGGCTGACAGGGCCTGAGATCATCTCTATGTGCCCAAGGCCCCAAACTCAACTTCCAGTCAAAAAGGTCATCAATAATTAAACTCTCTGATCAAGAAAGATTTCAAACCATTCTCTTTCTGATGAAGGAGGGCACAAAAATTCCACTTAACTGTGTCTCACATCCAACACCTCATCTGAAAGGGACATCAGAATAACTCCATTTGTTCCAGTAGTCCTCAAATCCACACTCTGTCCAAGAGGTCTGTAAATGTCATCCTTTCATAGTGGGGCTCTGGTGCCTTTCCCTCTGCCTATAGGAGGAGCCTCAGACACTCCATGCCTACTCATAAATATTTCCTCTTTCCCTTCTGTCTAGGGGGCAACAACACTTTCTCGTAATGCCCATATTTACCTGAAATCCTTTTGCTCAAGGGGAACTCATGCCCACCTTCTCTTGAAAGGTGTCAATAGATCTTGTTCTACTGACTTTGTGTGCCTGCTATGTCCCAACTGTTTAGGATTACTCCGAAACTTATTCCTACTACATATATTTTGAAACATTCCTCCACTGAAGAAAGAGGCCTTGGACTTACTTCCTCTGACCAAGGGCTTCATAGCCCAAAGATAACCATTCAACCTGTTGGAATAATGGAACAACTGCTGCCTGGACTTTCACACAGCACACAAAATATACAGACATTCTAAATACTGAAAAGTGATTGAAAGCTGATCAAGCAATACTGGCATTTCGTCTGCCCCACAAGGTATTGACATGTTCTCCAATGTGAAATGGTCTTTTTTATTTCATTGAAAATAGCCAGAGATTTTACCCCTCTGACAAATAGGTAGAGAATTTCACATTTCAAAGACATTCTCAGAAATCATGCTTATGGCCAGGGTGCTGCAACACCCTTAATCCCATGAAGTCTGGCACATTAAATCTTTGAGGAAGGGCACAATAGTCCTACTTCTGTGCAAAGCTCCCCAAGCTCCTCTCTCATCTTACACAGGAAATTTAAGACATTGCTATGAGGTAGTTCTCCAGACCAGGCCTGTGCGATCGAGGAAAGCCCACAGACTCACCATCTTCCCAGTGCATCTTCTATACACTACTTCTAATTTCTGTAGTCTGGGAAGCATTCTTCTGACCTAAGAGATCTCATAGCAGTGTGGACTGAGGTCCCAAACAGAAGAGTATCAAGGCAAGGGTAAATCAGCCTACATTCTTCATTTCAGTCCCTCAGACACAGTCCTCCATGCAAAGGAAGCTGTGGATGGACCTATATTTGAGGAAGACACTGAACCTGAGACTACTGTATTGCAGCCTCTTAGAAGACTTCTAAGACATCTGTCGTGCCTAGAAGGGACACTCAGATGATGTACATTCTAGACTGTGACTTCAAGTTTGGAGCTGATAAGGGAACATTCTATAATTCTCAAGGTATCAGTCAACCTTCAACTTCTGCTCAATAGTGCTCCAGACATAAGAGTAAGACAGGCTGAGCCTTTTCCACACAATCCTGGGGAACTCCAACCTCATCCTTCTACTTTAGAGCACCTTAGATCTATCACATGTGCCCAGAGGGGCGGAAACAATTCCTCTTCTGCACACAGGCAAATTGGATATGTCTCCCCGTAACCAAAGTACTCTGAGTACCCCCTTTTACTGAATTGGATTTTAGACTATTTCCTCTCCCTCATTATACCCCAAATATTCCTCTTCTCACCAAAGGATCCCAAGCTTGCCTGTTCTACTAGAGAACCACATCCAATATCCAAAAGTAGTCTCAGAACTTCAAGATATTCTCCAGAGGGAGTGCACTCGCTATATATTTAATTGGGCCTCAGATGCTTCTGTTGTGTCCAAAGGAATTCCAATCTCCTGCCTCTGATTTTCCAGTGGGTCTCAGATTTCATTTTCCCCAGGCCATCTTCAAATACACCTTTCTAACCAAGGAGGACATCACATTGTTCTCCTCTGGTGCAGGGTCCTCAGACATCCCCCACACCATCTTTAGGACCTATAATACTTCAATCCACGAGGGACCTCCAGATCCCCCAGGCTTAAAGTTCCAGAGCCCAAGCTTAGCAAGTACAGCCAAGAACAGAAGCTCACTGCCTCAAGGAGAAACCAAAATGATGTGTTCCCCACATTTCATACCTAGACCTAGCAGCTGAAAATATGGTTAAGAAGGAGAACCAGTGTGGGACAGTCAGCCAGGATTTCTGATGAATGCTCAGACTGCTGCCTGATCCGGCACCACATTCATTACAGTGGACAGATGTCTCTGAGGAGGAGCTGCTAGCTGATAAGGCAGTACCTGGAATGTGCTGCAGTGCATGAAGTAGGGTGGGTCTTTGATCCTATGTCAAGAAAAGAGTATGCAAATTTCAAACTCTACCCAACCAAACATGCTTGTTTACCTCTACAAAGGGCTTTCAGATTTCTCCTCAAGAGGCCCTCACATTATTTCCCCTCTGACCCTTGGGGTCTTGCATACTTTTCAGGGCTCTCAGGGTCTCATTTGTTCCTCATGCCCCTCACTCTCTCACCTCTGACCACTAGTCATACATCTCTCACTTAGTGTTGAGGACATTCTCAGTATGAAAATGAGGCCATCAATAGTGCCTACATACTATTTCTGAATAATCGGATCTTACAACTCCACCTCTGGTCAAGGGTACTTCAGATATTCCTTTCTCATTACATGGGGTCTCTATACTAGCATCTTTATTCAACAGGCCTCTGGTTTTACCCTCTGGTCAAGCAGGTCTCCCACTTTGCTCAAAGAGATGTCACAATTACACAATGTGGACAAAATGTCTTTGGGCATTCTCTTATTCATAAATCTGCCATTCTTCCCCTCAGGTTTGTGGTCTCCAGAGCAGCAAGGAGAGCCAGGAGTGGCATTCATCATCTTCAGAGCACTCATCCTTAATGGAGTGGTCCCAACCTTAGTGCTCAAACATGAACGGTTGGACACAAACCTGCCTGGCTGACAAAGCACTAGACATCCACCCACATTTGTAGACCGGTGTTCAGATTGCTGCACATCCTACTGAAGATGCCACAGATGACATGGTTACTTTTGATTGCTGCTGTTCTCTTCTTGCTGGTGATGTTCTCTTTTTAAGTTTAGAAGAGGACATCTAGTTAGTTTGTTGTTATGGTAGTCATCTACTGGCATTAAAAACCAGCAACCAACTGCTTAAATGTTTCACATTTTCTACTCTATTTGGAAACCACGATGTATGCATATCCTTTTTTTCCTATTGTTTTGAGGACATACCACTATGTAATTCTATTTTACAAATGCAATCATTTTAATAGTCACATGAATATATATTTTGTATGCAAAACTGTTTCCTGTGCTGTGTTGCTTTCCACTGGATGACAGTTTCATTCAAAGTCGTTTGGAAGATCATATCTTACTGATATGTTTTAAGAAGAAATATCTTGGAACTGAGGGTGTATGACTGAATATCTCCAGCACTATAAATACCTTCTGTAGCATTGCTGACTATTGGATTATAAGTATCAGTTAGTACATAGTAATAACTGAAGCAATGAACAACTATGACAAGGAGTTTTTAGGGTATAATCTCTAAAAATAGCCAGAAACAAAGGAAAGCCTAGTTATTAATCAATTCTATGCACATCAAATGAACATTGTGCATTTTGTGGGTGTATGTAGAAGACTTTGACATTTGAATGTCCAACTGTTATGTTTTAAATGAGGATAGTAAACTTTGCTTTGTGTGTGTGTGTGTGTAGTAAAGGGCACCATGTCTTTAGATTATCATCTCATCTATCTGTCTATCCATCATCTATATACATATAAGTATGTATGTGTGTATGAATGAATATATTTATGTAGTTATGTATGCAAGTGTTTCTCTATCATCTATCCCTCTCTCTGTCCACCCATCCTCTCTTTCTCTCTCTCTCTCTCTCTCTCTCTCTCTCTCTCTCTCTCTCTCTCTTTCTCTCTCTCTTTCATGAATATATTATATGTATGCATGTAGCTAGGTAGGTGTGGTAGTTTGAATGTAATTGGTCCCCTTAGGCCCATAGGCAGTATTAAGAGGTATAGCCTTGTTGGAGTAGGTGTTTCTTTGTTTGTGGAAGGGTGACACTGGAGGAGGTGTGTGGTCTCATACATCCTCAAGCCATGCCCAGTAGGCATCTGTCTGTCTGTCTGTCTGCCCAAGAGTACCTGTGGCAGTGTGTTCAGCAATCCAAGGAGGGGATGTGGATTTGGTGGCAGTAAAGCAGATGTAAAGCAGGCATAGATGCATTTACACACTTGGTGGAAGAAGCAAGCTTTAAGAAGCTCTAACAATTTTACATATATACGTGTATGCATACACATATACAGATTTGGTGGATGGAGCAAAGGTTCAACCCCTTTGCGTATATACTCGCATTTGGTGGGTGGAGCAAAGCTCCAACTTTATTTTTTTATCACACTGGTTGCTTATCCCTGAAAATAGTTTCAAGTAGTATAAAAACAACAATGTGATTACATTCTATTTTCTTCTAGTGAATAATTATGGGTATACGTACAAAAAAGCATCTCCCCCAATATCCTCTCATGATGCACTGTTTATAAATTATGGATAAAAAAGCCAAATTATTCCCAAGAACCCACACACATTCCTAACTAAGCAACTTGTTATAGCAAGGTAATTTTTTTCACCCAGTTTCTCTTATTGGCAGGCTGCAATTTCCAGTTATAAAGGATCAATTACTTTATTATTTATCTCAAAAAGTAATCTCATAAAAATCTTAAAAGAATCACAGAACTAAACTTTTAAATAAAAAACAATCAGCCATTTCTACTTTGAATCCTCAGGGTGCACATCTATCCATTAACCATTTTCTTTTTATTAAATCCTATCAGGAAACGGAGGGGGAAAGTGGGTACAAGGAATTAATCATCACCTGATCACCAGCTCAGCTTTTGCAAGAAAGGCATGCTTGTTCATAGCAGTTCTTTCCAAGAGTGGTGGTTGAATCATTTATCTGCCCCAGCATCAATGCTTGGAAAAGTTCAATCTAACTAACACTGTGGGTGACAATGACATTGTCCAGTGAGGGTCTGGAATATCCTTTAGAATTTTCATACAACTCATAGATTATGAGGGATGTGATATGAGTGTAGCAACCAGAGCGAAACTCCACAATCACATGAAGTCCTCAGGACACATAGTCCTCGGGTCTCTGCCTCTCTCAGGCACACCCACAGTGCTTGGGCTAATGATGGGCCACATTCCATAAGTTTTAATGGTTTTGCTGTTTCTCTTGCACAGCATCTGACATCTATCTGTGTAACATTATTTAAGTTGTGCAGGGTGCATAAATACATATGGAAGTCAGAAGTACATGTCATGATGTCTTATCTTTCCTTCTACCATGCACATCTTGAGGATCAAACACAGATTAGGTGGCATAGCTGAGTTACCACTTACATGTCTGACCAGTCCCAATACTGTGCTGAAAAGATGACTTAAAGGATTATATAAACACTTATTCCCAGGTGTACATGATACCCTCACTAATGCCCCTGTTACCCATTGAATGTGTACACTTCAATTTTTATGTGGCTCACCTCACCAAGAATCCATCAAAATCCAGTAGTTTAGAGGTAAAATGTAGGACCCCCAGGAGTCCCTCTGCCATGTTTAACTTAATTTTCTTTCTTGTAAAATTGAAAATAAATTAATTTCTCATATAATATACCCTGCTTACCATCCCCCAACTCTTTTTCCTCACAGTTATTTTCCTACCTCCTCTCCCCTCCATATCCACCCTCTTTCTGCCACTCCTCAGGAAAGAACAGGCTTCTAACAGAAAACAAACAAATATGACAAAATAAAGTATAAGCAAATAGAGAAATCATCACATTGAGGTTGGAACAGGAAGGCCAACAGAAGGCAAAGAACAGGCACAAGAGTCAGAAACCCATTCATTCACACACTCAAGACTCTCATAAAAATCTAAAGCCGGAAGCTATAATATATATGCAGAGGACTTCTTTCCTGCAGACTTGAGTAGGTCCTGTGCTTGGTGCTTCAGTCTCTCTAAGTTTATATGAGCTTTGTTCAGTAGATTCAAAGGGTCCAGTTCTCCTGATGGCCTCAATCCCTGTCTGGCTCTTACACTAACTGCCTGCTGTTTTGCAGTGTTCCCTGGCCTCTGAGGGGAGGGATGATGGCTGAAAAAGTTACTGATCTGTGAGTATACGAGAATGTCATTAGGAGTCATTTCATCACTATGTTTCTTTTCTTTTTTAGTCCACTATTACTTGAGTATACCCTAGGTTTCTGGGCTATCTAGTCTCAGGTTCTTGGTCACCCAAGCAGTCTTTTGTATGGGTTCCATCTCGAGGAGTGCACCTTAGGTGAAATCAGTTATTGTTTGGTCACTCCTACAAATTCTTTGCCACCATTAACCTAGCATATTTTGCAGGCAGAACAGATTCATGCCAAAGGTTCTGTGGCTAGGTTAGTGTTTACATTTCTCTTTCGTTAGCTTCCAAAGTATCTTCTAGCATCAGAAAACTAGATTGTAAGTGTGAAGTCTCTGTGTAGGCAACAGCTTGATTTCCACATATTCAATGACTTGTTGGTATTTTCCTCAGCAATGGAGCCCCCTAGTCAGTTTGTAGAGAGCAGTCTATTGTCTTAGCAATGGTCTGGGTTGTTTGGGGATTTCTATGGCATTCCCTTGGCCCAAAACTCAATAGAATGGCACTCAGTACCTGTAGTGAAAGCATTGTTTGGTAAAAGATGGTCAGATGAGGCATAATCTCACTTGTTACTAGGAGATTTCTTTAGGCTCACCTTCACATATTTTAGGAAATGGCCACCTTACCAGGTTTTCATATCATCCATCAAATGTTCCCCTCTTCCAACCATCTCTCCCTGCACTCCCTCCCTCAAGTCTACTGCTTTCTACCATGCCATCTGATCTTCTCACTCTTGTCCACCTCAGTCCACCAATAAAATCTATTCTATTTCCCCATACCACAGACATCCATGTATCCACCCCAGGCCCTTCCTCTATACCTAACTTCTGTGGAACTACAGACTTGAGACTGGTCATCACTTATGTAATATTGAATGTCTTAGTGTTTCTATTGCTGTCACAAAACACTATGACCAAAAAGCAAGTTGTGGAGGATAGGACTTATTTGGCTTGCACTTCTTCATTGCTGTTCATCATTGAAGACAAACAGAAAAGAAACTACAATGGTCCAGGAACCTGGAGGCAGGAGATGATACAGAGAACAGGGATAGGTACTGCATAGTGGCTAGTTCCACATGATTTGCTCAGCCAGTTTTCTTATAGAGAACTCAGAACCGCAAGCACACTGATGGCAGTGTCAACAATGGGCAGGATCCCTCCCCATCAATCTTAATTAAGAAAATGCCCTGCAGTCTTGCCTGCACAGCCCAATCTTATGAAAACATTTTCTCAATTGAGGTTCCTTGCTCTCAGATGACTTTACTTTGTGGCAAGTTGACAAAAACCAATTTAGCTCAGTCATTATCAACATATAAATTAATACATACCACATTTATTTTCCAGGGACTGGGTTATTTTACTCAGGATGAGTTTTTTTCTATTTCCATCCACTTGCCTGCAAATTTATGATGTCAGTATTTCCTAACAGCAGAATAATATTCCACTGTATAAATATACCACATTGTTTTATCGATTCTTCAGCTTATGGACATGTAGGTTGTTTCCAGTTGCTGGCTATTATGAATACAGCAGCAATTAACATGGTTGAGTAAGTGTCCTGGTAGGATGAAGCATTTTGGGAATCTTTTTGACCTATCAGGTGTCTGTTGTTATGTCCCCCTCTTGATTTCTGATTTTGCTAATTTGGATATTCTCTCTCTGCTTTTTAGTTAACTTGAATATGAGTTTGTTGATCTTAGTGATCTTGTCAAAGAACCAATATTTTGTTTCATGGATTTTTTTGTATTGCTCTCTTTCTATTTTATTGATTTCTACCCTAAGTTTTATTATTTCTTGCCAACATTTCTTTTGGGTGTCATTTTGTCTTTTTGTTCTAGAGCTTTAGGATGTGCTTTTAAGGTAGTATTTCTCTAGTATTTTTTAAGTAGGCTTCACCTCACCCTCACTATGTAGGTAAAGACACCTTTGAAATTCTAACCCTCCTGCTCCACCTCTTA